GACAACTCTGAGGGGAATTTATCACAGCACTGTCAGTTCTTGCGCCGAGCAGCCATTCAAAATATGCCTCCCAGAGTCGAGTGTCAGCTTGAGGTGGGATGTGATACGCAAGCTCAGAGGAGTCAGCGCTGGACGGAGACCCGCTGTATACACAGAAACTGGCCTTTTAGGGACCGAGCAGAACAGAGGGACCGAGCAGAACAGCCGAGCAGAATGCCGCTCAGCGGCATTCGGCTATTTACTCACTGCTGTTCGGCATCTATGAGAATAGACCAAACAGCAGCGAGAAGCCTGCCGGAGGTTCGGCTTAGCCAATCCAGATGTTGGATCGGCTGAGTCGAACTCCCTCTGCACTTCGGGTCACCCGAAGCCACACGACGCCACACGATGTACGGCCATACCAGCCTGAAGTGAATAGCCGAACAGCGTTCGGCTCACTTCGCTTGGGGTCGGTGAGTCACTCGGCTGCCTACGGCAGCTTAGTGAATACTAGCAGATGTAGATAAACTTGACTAAAAATTTTAATCCAACCTCCAGTTAACACTTCTTAGCAGTTACAGCAACAATTTTTTTTTCTTTTGGGATAAAGGTTTAAGTAATTTAATAATAAAAGCTTATCATTGTAAGCACCTCTGTTAGTGTTAAATGATTTGTCTCGACCCTTTATCTGCCATATTTGCTTGGTCTGTTAAAGGAAATGGAAAACATAACTGATTCACCAGGAGCAAATAAAGATTGAAAGACTAAAAAAACTAATGACTGGCAAATTGCAAAATATTACATTTTTGCTTTTGGGTTTAGATATGCTTTAATATAAGAACTTCTTTACAACAGTTTCTCATCACACTGCTTCAATTGTGGCATTTTTCCTCCAACTACATTGTCAACCTGCAGGGCTTAGATCCATAGCCCACAGTGCGAGGGAAGCTAATTTCTGTTCCTCTTCTAGGGTAATTGCGTCAGCAATCCTGGCAAAGCTCCACAAGTGAGGGAAGTCCCAGCTGTGATGGAAGCTCCTATGCTGGATCAATTACAATGTCCCAAAATAGGAGCCCTCTGTTTCCACGTATAAACCTCTTCTTCTCTTAAAATGGCTGCTCCACCACTACCCACTGGCAACTGGCCTCCACTCTCTCCCCCCTCCCCTTGACTCTTTCTATGGCCACTTACATGGGAGAAAAGTACCCATCCACCTCCAGGAGCCATCAAGTAAACACTATCTAAAAGGGCCTTACAACTTTCCCTTAAGGCTAGTATGCCTACTGGTACTTGGATACTTCAAATATTGGTGCTATATTTGCAGAACTGAGATGCACCCCAGCAAACCCAAAGAGAGAGTTCACAAGCCAGATCATATGGCTGGAGGATGTGGAATGGTTCTAGATAGGTGCAGTATGCAGGAGCAAGCAGCACTAGTGTGTGGCCGGAACGCCAAGCTTCTACTGTTCAGTGGCATATTTTGTTTTCCAAGAAAGAGTCAGGGTAGGTGGCACTCCGTAGTGTATCTGTTATCCAGGCAAGGGTTATCCAAGCCCTTGGCTTGTGATGTATAAATAAAGCACGACAGCGACAGAAGCCAACAGATGAGACTAGGCAGATAGAACTGACCCACTGCCTATCAATGAGGACGCCTCCTGAGGTGACTGCCTCTGCTGGCTAATGGGGAGGAGGAGGTGAAGGGCAACTGAAGCTCAGGTTGGGCAAGGGAGAGCGGTTGACCGGCGGCTGCAGGAGAGGCAGACACCTTAGGAATTGGTTTGAGGCATTTTTTTCCTCTTTTATATTTCAAGGAGGAAAGAACTTGACCCCTAGCTGCATTGGTGTCTTTTTGTTTTTTTCTGTGTGCGTGTGGGTGTAACCTGTCCAGCAATGGTGACATTGACAAAGATTGGGACAAACATAGCAACATCAGGGGTGCTTACAACTCTCGTCATATCCACGGGTTTTAATTTCTAAGAATACACAAAAACTGTTGCTTACACTACTCAAGCACCCGGCAGTGTTAGGGTTCTTGTACTTAGCCACTTGTGTTACAACATGAATTCTAATGTATTTCCACTAACAGGGAGCCACAGGTGATGCCTACAGTTTTCTATTAAAGTCAATGTACGCGGGTGTACACCATACTTGCGTAAAAACACAGATGCATACGGGCGCACAACTCTGAACGCAAACAGTTTGCATCCAGGGTTCCTTTGTCGTATGCATGCATGTGTTTATGCAAGTCTGAGATATACCTGCATGAAGCAATTGACTTCTATGGGAGGCTGTATACAGCACCTGTGGCTCCCTGGCAGTGGAAATATGCAGAATTTATGTTGTATGCCCAGAAGTGGCCATGTACAATAGCCCTTACAGTTTGTACCAACCCCTGGCACTCGAAAATAAAAACCAATAGCGCCAGAGATGACCACTTCACTGAAGAAATGTACATGCAGAAGTTCTACTGGTCTTTGCCCCCCATCAGTCAACGAGACTGTGATTTCTAATGAAAAAAACAAAAACAAGGGGCGCCTTTTACTTGGCAGTTTCTGATGAAGGGGGTGTGGCCCCGGAAACGCGTCAACCTAGGCATACTGTGCTATCACACAGGAACCACCATCTGTGCAGCTCTCACATGCTGTGTCTTGCTTTTTGTTAAGACTGAGGATCAACCTTTGATTTTGAAGGCACATTGTTATCTACTCTTTTGTGAGTATTATTCTATTTCTGCCATTTGCTTAATAAAAATGTATCTACACTAGGGAAGGCGCATGTGAAATAAAAAGAAATTAATATTTTATAAGCTATCATTACAGCTATTAACTGTTGGAAATACAGCAGCATATGCTGATACATACTGATCGTATTACTGACATTCTGATGTGTACTGGTATGTCTTTTGAGCTGTAGATGGAGATGTAGTGCAATGTTACGCTCTGTGTGAATGCTTATCTATGATACACAGGAAGTTTTCCTATCGATTTGTTTCCCGCGTAATGCTGCATACACAGATGTAATATTCTCCTAAGCAAGTAAAACTTAATTCAGCATTGCTCAAGATCTCAGTGCTTCAACTAAACACATAACCAACATTAAATGCATGCAGTTAAAGAGTAGTGATGTGTGTGGTATAGGTGTAAACCGAGTTGACCCAAACCCACCATAAAACTGTTAGTGACCCCCCCCATCCTAGCCCAATCAGCTGCAGATGAGACATTCCCCACCCCGCAGCTATGTATAACTGTTGGGGGGAAAGGAGGGGTGTCACTAACAGTTTTGCAGGGGCTTGGGAAATACGGGCGAAGTTGGCTCACGCCAACCCCTTGCAAGAGGAACTTCATCGCCATACTTTTTTTAGATCCCTACTTGCCTCTGTCACTGAGGTTATCCACAAATAATATACTCACATGCCCAGTGTATCCAGCAATGTCCTGCTGTGATCTGCCAAACCCCTGCTGCATGCCATGTCCTGCGCCGCTATCTTCATTCCTTACGTTATTGGGAGATGGCTGTGTCTTCTGGGTTCTTGCAGCCAGCCCGCATTGACACACCGCCAGGTCCTCCCTGCTTCAGCTCCAATGTGTGAAAGCCAAAGCGTCCTGGGATTAGTGTTGTGCAGGGACTTTGAGTGATTCCAGTTCGCTGTAGTTCGCTCAAGTCCTTGCAAATCTGTCACTGGCAGACCCCCCTCCTGGCCCAGTCAGTTGCGGTCAGGTCATTTCCTGCTCCTTTGTGATGTGTAGCTGCATGGTAGGGTATGCCCCGGTTGCAGCTGATTGGGCCAGGAGGGGTGTGTGCAGCGGCGTCACCTGGCCGGGTGTCACCCGGTGCGACCACCGAGTGTCACCTGCTGTTCACGTTATGACGTACACACATGACTTCATCACGCATGCGCATAATGTCACATGCACTTCAAAGCCGGCGGCAATCTTGGTGATTGACACTTGCAAAGAGAGGAGGGGACGTTCATCTGGCTGGATAAGGAATGGCGCTGGGTCCCCTCCTCTCTTTTGCAGCTGTAGGGCTCTCTGTCCATGACCGAGTGCACGACTGTCAGTCATTTTGGTGTCACCCGCTCTGATGGTGTCACCTGGTGTGAGCTGCACCCCCCTTGTGATACCACTGGTGGTGTGTCAGTGGCTGATCTACGCAGGCTTGGGTGAACTGCATCAAACTGGACCCCCGTGCATCATTACCTGGGATATCTGAAATAGAAATCCCAGGAGGCTGCTGGAGCGAAGGAGGCATCAATCTCATTTAGGCAAGAATGGAGGAGTTGGGGTTGGACTTAGAAATTGAAAAAAAAAGGTAAATAAACAAAACTAAAAAGACTTTGTAGATTACGGATGGTGTTACAAGGATGCAATGTTCTTTTTTGGGAGTGAAAGTCCGCGTTTACAGAATATGTTTTATGTGTGCAATAGTTGATTTTCTATTGAATCTGATAATTTAATTATTAAGCAAAGAATTGTGCAGGATGCAAAAAATGTCCAGCACTGAAGTTAAACATATTTTCTATCCTGCTCTGTAATTAAACTATGTGGCGGATTTCTGAGTACTGAGATCTCTCAGCACAGAGGACACGGGCAATAAAACTGATTAGCCTCTCTCTGCTAGCTGGCTGTATGTAAAAGTGATTTTCACTAGCTTTCGCAAAAGGAACTGAAATTTGCATTCACTTCAAACCAAAAATGTCCCCTGGGTGTGTCACATGATAATCATGTGACGTAGCAGGCAGTGTACACTGCTGCAATGGGAAACAGATGGAGGTCATGTGACCAGATCCATGTGTAGGGGGCTAGGAGCTACTATACAGTTAACTGATCATCTAGCGTAGCATAGGACTGCATGTTTCATGCAAACAAATGCTGTCCTAAAGGGAATATACACACTGCTAAACATGTAAGTATATTTATTCAATCATTGGAGATATTTTCAGATCCTTGAAATATTTGTAGGTGTTAATTTTTTTTTAATCCTTGCATATCTGCATTAACTGTCAGTTTATGTCTTTTGTTTGCACACTTGTCTATGTAGCCACCTCTTCCGCCTGTCCTCTACCCCTGTCCACCCTCACTCCCTGCAGCTGGAAGTGTTTCCTCTGTGTGCCGCAGAGAGGGGGGGGTGGGAGGAAGTGACAGGCAGGAGACACACACATACTTATGTGGAATGCACTGAAACTCGACAGTGAAACATCAGCTCTCCGCCAACATCTGTACCCCGCTATTGTCTCTGTGAGCTGCATCCACCATTTTCATCCTTCTCATTTCTTGAACTTCCACTTCCATCTTTTACTGTCTGACCACTAAATCTTTCTGGATGTCCCCTCCCTGAGCCAGCCTGGAGGCGAGAGTGTCAGCTGGTGAGATGTGGACAGCGGGGTAAGATTAATGTTAATTGTATTCAGTTATTGCAGGACATCTGTGCAATCTGCGGTGACACAAATAATGACCAAGCGTTATACATTGGAGTGCAGCAGATAGCTCAGATAACAGTTCGGCTATGCTTTTGTTCTGGCACTTCAGAATCCAGTTAATAAGTTTAATTATATAAGAAGCAGTGGACTTTAGAATGGCATAGATTATAGAGAGGCTATTTGCGCCACTCAGTACAATAATTATAGAACACTCATTTTTTGAGTTCTGGGTTGTATAAATTATAGGATAGCTTTTTAGATGTTGTAGAACTACATAGACAAGCAGGTTTGGACTAAAGGGTCCATAATATCTAGAGAACAATATTAAGAGAACCACACACTGCCTCAAAATACCGTACCTCCAATATTTGTGAAGGTTACAATGTTCTTCAAAAGACAGAAGATCGAAAATGATATTAGTTGTGCATTTTTTTAATGACTTCTCATTCCCAAGCTTAAAGGAGTTTTCCATTTTTATCAATTAGTAGCACCCTGCTTTAGTTGACCCCTAATAGCAAAGATTAGAACGTATAAGTAAGGACATTCTGGCTTGTGTAAATTAGATGAGAGCTTTTTATATGTTGTAGAACTATATAGACCAACAGGCATGAACTTAAGAGTCCATAATATCAAGTGAACCAACCACTGCTTTAATATACTGTACCTTCAATATTTTTGAAGGTTACAATGTTCTTCAAAAGAGAGAAGATCCAAAACGATAATAGTTCTGTATTTTTGTATGAGATCTCATTCCCAAGCTTAAAGGAGTTTTCCCATTTTTATCAATTAGTAGCACCCTGCTTTAGTTGACCCCTAATAGCAAAGATTAGGATGTAAAGGTAAGGATGTCTATTGAGTTCTGGGTTGTGTAAATTAGAGAAGAGCTTGTTAGATGTTGTAGAACTACATAGACAGGCAGGAATGGACTGGTCCATAATTTCGAGAAAACCAAACACTGCTTCATGATACCTCCAATATTTGTGAAGGTTACAATGTTCTTCAAAAGAGAGAAGATCCAAAATGATAATAGTTGGGTTTTTTTTAAGGACATCTCATTCCCAAACTTAAAGGAGTTTTCCATTTTTATCAATGAGTAGCTCCATGCTCCAGTTTACTCCGGATAACAAAGAGGGGACTACAGCTGCTGTATGCTTGTAGATCAAAAGGATCTCTTGCTTTTCTTGGTTTGTTTCATGGACTGTCTCCTTGTGATTCCCTATAATGGAGGTTATTGACTTGATGGATGCCGCCTAAGAAACTGGGTGTGTAAAGGAGGATGGCTGAGGTCTAGATTTAGTCTAAGGTGGAGAACCCCTTTAAAACAATTATGTGAGACTCCAGCCAAAACTTTGTTCCTAGTTTTGGACAGAGTGGGGAAGGCTTTGAGTTTCTGTCACATTCTGGCCATTGGTATCTGTGTGCCAGTTGGGATATTAATTCTGAATTTGTATCCTGAAAGCTGAACTCCAGGATAAGCAAATATTGTTTAAATACAAGAGACGCGTGTATTCTTACTTGAATCTTGGTGTGTTTTATGTATTTCTTCCGGATCTGTGCAGTAATCCAGTGTAAAACTTTTCCTGTGCGTAGGAGCTTTTTTAAAATAAATACCAGTCACTGCTCCTCTCTCTCCTTGTGCAGGGGGACTGGTCTTGTGTCCTCCCTTACTGTAGTTATCTACAGGCAGCCTGTAGTGGATGGAGCTTCAGGGTCCCTCACACACCTCTGCTCTCTGCACAGCCTATATTCACCACACTGATGATGTCACTGCTATTTTTATATAGTAATATGTGGGGTTGCAAAGGTGCACACAAAGTGGATTTATATTGAGGAATATATTGGAATTAAAGTTTTTGTGCCCAGAGTTAAAATGTAAAATTTTGCATTTGTCTCCTGAACACAAATTGAGGAAAAATCTCCAATGGGGGCACTTTTTCCTACTTTACAATGATTTCCTCTTACTTTCTATTCCTGCCTCAAGGAAAGGAAACAAAGATTAAATCTCCACCGTATGGGCACAGTCAGAAATGTAAACCCTTATAGGGATTCTGATATTTTCAACTCTATGCAAAAGTAGGAAAACATTTGGCCTGGAGTTGTGTTTTCAAGTAATCCTTTACACTAGCCATTGACTCTTAGTATGTATTCTATATATATCACCTAAAATTAATTTAATGGACTGTTTAATTTCTTAATCAAACCATTGTTTTTAGGATCGATTGACTACTATTTTTATTCTGAACCTTCTCGAGGCTTTCATGTGGGTCTGTAGGTGTACTGGTATCGAAGATTGAGTTATATAGATTTCTAGGAATTGCGTTAGGCAGAACATGAATTGCTCATTGATTGAGGATGCCGACCTCTAGCTAAGCATTCTGGGTGAATGACAGGAAACTTCATTCATGGGCAGTTTCCTGGCGGCAGTGATATTAGCTTTCTTTCTGCATACTCCCTCCCAGATAGCAAGAAATTGTGCTGCAAGTTTGAAAATGACTTGCTAAACTATTGCAGACTTGCCAAGCTTCACAATTTTGTTGCACAATTACAGCAAAGCATTGCAAGTCTCCAGACCAGCGAGCTTGCAGAGCTCTTGCCAAGACCTGCAAGACTCTTGCTGTAGACTTGCCAAGCAAATTTGCTACAAATTCAAAACTAGAACTAGAACTTGTGCTGCGAGTGTTCTGCAAGTCTACAACTTGCCAGGAATGTGTGCAGCAAGTTAACAAGAATTACAATTTAACCCTGACACAAGTTTGTGGCAAGTTATCCTTGCTATCTGGGCTTTGTCTTGATTATTTTTAAAGGTACTTTTTAAAGTCACATTCATTTTCTTCTATATATTGTTCCCATCAGGCTTGGTTTCTTGTGTTTTCACACAGGCAGGCTCCTGTCCTGGATGGGGGTCCACAGCTCCAGCGCTCGCCCCCTTTTGAGGATTGGTCTACATCTCCCAAACCTGAAACTTCAAGATCAGTCACCGAGGGAGGTATGGAGAAGCCTATCTATGATTTATCTCGACTGCGCAGTTCCTCTGTGGAGATCAGAGAGAAGGGGTCAGAGATCCTGAGAGATGAGCTGCTTAAGGCTCAGAAGGTAATTTTATGGGCCATGCATTTGTATGTGTCTTCTATAATGGTTATAGCAATCATTCCAGATATTGATTATAGGTAACATAGGTAACAGAGATTAAATTATAAATCAGGTGAACTGAGATTCTGGGGCTCCTGAATATCACTTATTCCCCATTTTTCGTACCTTTTTGTTTATGTTATGTACAGTGGTGGACATAGTCAGAAAAGGGCCCCATTGTGAGTAGAAATATTGCCCCCCCCCAATTTTGAGCAATGGTAGATAGATGTAGGTGAAGAGTAGACCCTATGATGTCCTGAACTCTGTCATGGCATATGATATGCAACTGGGGTCAACATGGAACATCCCCTCCACCCCCTGCACATATGGGATCAAGAGGAAATGGGAGAAGTATTCTGCATGCCTCAGTTTTGGTCAATAATAAGCAAAAGGAGGAGAGAGCCGCAAGAGTTCCTAGTAGGTGCACTGGGCCTTTACTAATGCCTTCATAATCATGAGCCTTCCATGCACATCTCCTAATACCACTAGTCAACTTGGGTCCAGTATACTATAGAGTTTTCTCCACTGTTATAAGCCCTGATGTAGGTGGACCAGTGAGCCTCCAAAATGCATTGGATCCTTTTGTGAATTATGTTGATAATAATAAAGGTCTATAGGACTTACTAGGAACTCATGGGGCACTTTCTGGACTACTGGCACCTAGAAAGCAGCCTTTCCTTTTAATCCTTGAGAACTACTACTACAACTAGGGTCCAGCGCTCCACAAAGACATTTAACCTCAGTGTTGGTCAGGAAGGGAGTAGAAGGAGATTATTTTTGCCCGCCACCCTGTACCTTACCCGGAGCACATAAGGGTATTGTGTAGAATGCCTTTTTTTGCCGGTCCCAGAACTGAGCAGTATGCAGGTCTATGTGACAGTGGGGGGAGTCCCTGCACCTACCTGACCCACATCTCATGTAAATAGGCACCTAAATCCCAGAGTGCTCTTGTGCCACAGTCTTTAAAAATGGTGTGTGCACCCCTGGTTATATACTGTTTCAGCAAAAAGTTTAAAAAAATGACATGCATCTCTTGGAGGACTATCAGTTTGGTAACTTAAGCATATTTAGGCTTGGTATCAAGGGGCATTGGGCTCTTTTCCGCCTCCACTTCCAACTTGTGAAGGCACTATTTCCCGGGAAAACCAGTTATACTGAAGTGCCAGATTTAATAGGAACAAATACATATTCCTGTTTTCTTCTGAACTACAGGGGAATTCTTTATGACTCTGCAATTATGCAATCATAATGTTGCATAGCAATAGTTCATATGTATCACTATACTGTATAATACTGTGAATCTCTCTTGCAAGTTTGTATATAGTAGATGAATAACAATTGCGCTGGTCTATGGGCAATCCAATCCGCCTGTGTACGCTCCTTTACAGTACTCCTGAAATATAGGGGTTGCCATTACTGGTTTTCTGCTGCATATGCTAGTTGTTTGGCGGTGTCTGCCTTCAATACTTCTGCCTCATAGCGCGGGGCAAGTATGCAGCGAATGAAAGTCAAACAAAAGTTGAAATTCCTTAGCTCTACAGTATATTTGTTCTACGTTGGTGACTCTAAAAGTAATGAAGAAAAAGCATCAACACGACAGCCAGGCAACTAGCAGTTCTAGGTAGAGAGGGAAGCAATGGCACCCATGACGGGTTTTCTTTAACTCTCATAAGATTGCAATAAAAAACACCCATTCATTTTCCTCCATAAGCAGCACATGGAAAGGTGTGTTTACTGTGGTATAATGTGGCTGTACAGTATATACCATATAATATCTTCTGTCTTACAGTTTAGGATTTGGCTTTCTGTAGTGGGTGTAGATCTGCAAGTAAGGTGTGGGGGTATAGATAATTTCACAGGCCCTGTTATCTCAACCAAAAAGAATCTTAATGTTAGGAAATTGCTTCATAATCTTGGTACAAGTGATGGTATGCGTATAGGAGGGGAGAAGCTTCAACAAAAAAGTTGTGAAAACAAAAAAGAGTGAAGAGACACTTCAATTATCCAATCATGTGAAAAGCAAATTTAAAATGCAACTGAAGCCCAAACGTTTCTATTTTAATTTTGGATAGAGGGGAGAGAGAATATGCCCCCTGTCAGGTTCTTATTGCTATCTGTGTCCCCGTTAGAGAGATTCACCCTCTCTATATATCCTGCTGACCGGTTTTACTCAATGTAAAAGTGAAAGGAATCCAAAATTTTGGGTTGTCACCAATGGGGACACTAGTTCCGAGGACCCTTCTCTCCACCAGCAATGTCCATCTCTTTGAAGGGATTTCCACTCACTTCCTGTTGTGGCTATCAGACAGGAAGTGAAGGGAAATCTTCCCCAATGGCACACAGATTGCAAAAAAAAAGCTAATTGTCCCCTACTCTATCCAAAACTAAAAACTACTTTAACTTTATTTATTTCATTTGCACATGACTCGATAATTGAAAAGAATCTTCACTCAATTTATTGGATGAAGATTCTCAACTTTTATAGTAAATCAGCCTTGTGTGTAGAGTGTGCCTGCCACTACCTTTCCGGCCAGAGCATCCCAGGTTGCTAATAGCCAGGAGGGGAGATGTGTAAGGGCCATACGCATCTCTCCGCCCAGCTCTTAGCAATCTGGAAACGCTCTTGTCCCAGGCTGCTAAGAGTGGGTTGGGGAGATGCACATCTCTTAGCGGCATCACTCTCCACCAGCACACAACCCCCCCTCCCCCCCCACACACACACACTACTTATGCACCACTAAGTCCAGCATCAAGAAAGGAAACTAATTCAATCAAATATAAGGACCGGTGAGCTGCAATATATTCAGTTTTTGCTCTTGGGTTTAGATACACTTTAAGGCAGTTGGAAGGGGATAAAAATGGAACCGAGACTTCATTTCTTCAGTAAGAAAAAAATGAAACAGACTCTCAATCTTGCTATAAATTAGTCCCATTGTGGTCTTTGCTTGTTTTCTGCTTAGATTTCGTATGTATAGCATTTTATGGCATCTCCAGGTGTAGGACCCTCTCTGCAAACTAATTTTTCCTACTCCCAGAAGCAAAGTGACCCTAAAGGCAAGCTAAGCACTAATAGTTTACAAGTAAAAAAGTCTGGGCTGATGTCCATAGCAGCTGATTCCTTATTACAATATAATATGATGCAGGACATAAAGATTTGTATAGAAATTTCCCCCATGGGACTCAAGAGCTTGGCAATTTTTACAATTTTATATTAACTAAGTGGGAAATATGTGAAGTTATTTAGAGACCAGGCTGAGCATGTGTTTTGAGATGGATGTTGAAAATGAAAAGAGATCTCAGATCATGCTTCTTGAACAGTGGAGGGAAGAATGTTCTAAAGTGTTAACTGACAGATTGCACGTTTCAAAAGTCTTCTGGATTTTATACCAATTTTAGTTTTCTGTGTCAGAGGAATGAGGGTTATGTAGAGTATTATAGGGTTCCAGACGTTCCATCTGATGGCTGGCAGCCAAAATTTTCAGTATTTTGTAGGACTCTAGTCCGATTGTAAAGACATACATCAGCTACTTCAGCTTCATAATTAAAATGAAGCCCTCGGAAAGCACTCAACAGGGGCAGCTTGCTTTTCTAAGTGTTGATATTTTAATTCAGGCTTTAATATAGCGTGTGAGGCCAGTCCACATCAAATAAAAGGCCCTTGCTGACAGTAATCCAGAATCCTTTCAACACCAGTCCTACTCCCAACTAAGTGTGGCAGGTAATACCAACCTAAATCTACCCACTAGCTTTACAGGCCATAGAGGTGGTGAAAGGTGAGGATATCACCTCATGTCCTGTTCTTGACAAATGCCACCCACTTCTTGCTTGTTGCGCACACTCCAGCTTGCTTTTGTTGCCAGCACCTGACTGATTGTCTGGTTCCTGACTCTGGCTTTGTTTCCGTTAATCCTGCTCTCCATACTCCCTGACCTGGCTTGGCTGACTACCTGTTTTGGCATATGACCCCCAGCTTGGCACTGTCTACGTCCTGGACTTTCTCCATTTGTTTTGACATTTATGTTTATTGTTGTTTTCAATTAACTCCTTTTATATTTTAAACCTACACTTTAAGTTTCAGTCTGGTTTCCTGGTTCCCTAACATCAAAAGAGATCCCGCACAACCTACCTGAGACCCCGCAGAGCTCACCCAAGATCCTGCAAAGCCCACCTGAGAGCCTACACAGCCCACCTAACACCCTGCAGAGCCCACCATAGACCCCGCACAGCCCACCACAGACCCCACACAGCCCACCGTAGATCATGCAGTGCCCACCTGAGGCCCAGCACAGCCCACCATAGACCCAGCACAGCCCACCATAGACCCAGCACAGCCCACCATAGACCCAGCACAGCCCACCATAGATCTTGCACAGCCCACTATAGACCCCACACAGCCCACCATAGATCCTTCACAGCCCACCTGAGACTCTCAGGCAAATTAGGAGGTTGCGAGGCCCCATGAGCAGGCGCCTAATTTGCCTTATAAGGCAGCGGAGGCTGCCTGATTCTGTGTGGCCTGGCTTGCCTCTCTGATTTGTATGTGGTTTTTTTTGTCCACCTGGAAAGTGCCACCCAAGGTAAACTGCTTGTTTGCCTTTCGGTGGATATGCTCTTAAGTAGACTTACTAGGTACACAGCTCTGAGGCCCTCCTGTTAGTTACTCTACCTGTGACCTCCTGAATATCGATCTAGCAACCACTGCTGAACTTAAGACAAGAGTTCTTGAGGTTGAAAAAGACTATATGATTTCTGATATTTGGTGTTTAAAACACATCACTCTCCAGCTGTAGGTTTACATGCCTAATTTCTGTGATTGCCAACTCCAGTAATCAATATAGTTTAAAGATGAAGTAGAGATGGTTATCTCCTACCTAGCAGTGGTAGCTCAATGGCAATAATTATATTCTGCAATCAATTTTGATATTATCAGTGAGACTTGTGGTATTGCACATGGCACAGGAATAGAAATAAATGAATAACTTCTAGATGTGATCTTTTTAGGTTTGCCAGCTGCAAAGCATGTGGACCAGTTGAGCACTGAGCTATCAGGACAACAATATTACTTTAAAGATTCGATTAGGATATCATAGTCTACCATATTAAATGCTGCCCAATGCTTAAAGAGGACTGGAATAGAACACATTCCTTTGTCTTTGACCATTAATAGGTCTGGGAATTGTTGATGTTTAATTAATGATTAATTGTTTCCAGATTAATATCTGTCATAGATGTGAGAGTTTAAGCTCTAGTTGGCTTGCAACCTTAAATCTAATAAACTGCTATGGGCAACAGCTGCACTCTTGTTTTCTTTGTATATTAAGCCTCTATGTTGTGTAAGTGTATGCACCCTTTTCCTTAGATGTCCCCATTATTACCCACTGAATTTAATAACATCTTTTTTTTTTAACTTTCTTGGACTTTCATTGGTACAAAAATTACTGACAGTGACCAGTACTGGGATTGATTTTGTACTAGGGATGCACCAATACCAAGTACTGTACTCGGTACAAGTACAAGTACAGATACTTTCCCAGTTCCAAGACTAGACTAGAGAAAAATTCAAAAGTTAGGAGGCAGCTGTCATTTGTAAGGAGCATACGGAGCTCCTGGGATTTGTACATCTGTTTTAATGTATGATTTTGTTTTTATAAATATAAATAAAGGGATGCACCCATACCATTTTTGCAGGTACAAGTACTGATACTTGCCCATGTACTTACAAGTACAAAAAGTACAACATTTTTGTTTATTGTCATGTGACAGTATTTCTAAAACAATGCAGACTAATGATTTCAGGACAGTGGTGGAGCGCCAGAGCCAGGTCCCAGCTGCAACCACTGCAACCCTGGTAGTTCTCATGAAAATGCCAAGTATCGGCACTGGTATCTGAAAAGTATCGGTGCATCCCTAGTTTGCACACCTCTTGTCAAACATCTGCACTTCAATAGTAAACAAATAATGTGAATTGCAATGGTTGGGCGGAATATAATGTACTTGGTTCTTTATGAATTAATGTTTATATTTGAAGTGTCATATTTAAATTGTAAATGTAGTTATCACTTTTAGTCCACTGGGCATAGCCATTCCCACTACTCCCTAAATTCCTCACTGTGATGGACATTCTCACTGATTAATAGTGATGTGTGGGAGGCAGAAGGGGGTATATCCAAGCTTAGCTTCAGGAGCTAAAACTAGTATTTGATAACAAGAAATCAAGGTTTTGTAAGTTCCAGGATACTAATGAAGATGTGTATTACTATGTATGGCCACCTCAAGGTGTCTTCTTTACAGATATTGTAGAGGTTTATTAGGTTAATTATTGGCACAGGCTTACTTTAAAGCAGGGGTGGGGGAACCTCCAGCCCTTCAGCTGTGGTGAAACTACAAATCCCATGAGGCATTGCAAGATTCTCACAGTCACAGGCATGACTCCTAGAGACAGATGCATCATGGGATTTGTAGTTTCACCACAGCTGGAGGGCCGGAGGTTCCCCACCCCTGCTTCAAAGTGACACTACACTCAGGAGTTAAATCCTAAACTGCAAGTACCTTAACTATTAACATAAATGTAGCTTACTTGTGTATCAATCAGCTGTAGATCCTCAATCTTCAAATTCACGCTGACACAGCCCTTTCTTCTAGAGCAGGGGTGCCCATTAGGTATATCGTGATCTACCAGTAGCTCTCAAAGCTGATGCTGGTAGATCACGAAGGGTGGGAATGGTGGCCCCTTTATTCCATTTTGGTATATTTATTTAGCTGTGCACACATGATTACCTATTAGCCTGAGTCTGCTGAGCCAAGCTCCCTGACACCATTCTGGTGGATACTGGTGGTTGAAGTGTTATGTATTACATCAAAGAATACTACTTTACACAGCCTGTTGCACTACACTGTTTGCAAAATACAGCAAGGTGAGCCAGGGGGGAGAGAGCAAGGAGAGACAGTCAGGGGAGAGAGCAAAGAGAGACAGCCAGGGGAGAGAGCAAGGAGAGACAGCCAGGGGAGAGAGCAAGGTGAGACAGCCAGGGGAAAGCAAGGAGGGACAGCCAGGAGAGAAAATGAAGAATGACAGCCAGGAGAGAGAGCAAGGAGAGAGCGAGGGAGGTTTTTTTTCCGTTGGTAGATCTCATGTAGCTCATCATTTTAAAAAGTAGATCTTAACACAAAAGATTGTGGGCACCCCTGTTCTAGAGGGTGCCTACCTTTGTTCCCCATGGTCCCTGTGTGTGTTGTAAAGTAGTCACCACTCCAAGCTCACTCCCGTGATGGACTACAATCTCACTTTTATTTTACTAATTTGTATTGAGATTGTAGTCCATCATGGGAGTGATCTTGGAGCGGTGACTACTTTACAACACACTGGGACCATGGGGAACAAAAGTAGCCACCCTCCAGAAGGAAGGACAGTGTCAGCACCAATTCAGAGATGATTTGAGGATCTACAGCCGAGTGATACACAAATAAGATACATTTTTGTTAATAGTCAAGGTACTTCAATGCATTTTTAAGATTTAACTCCTGAGTTTAGTGTCACCTTAGACCAAATCTAGACATGTGTACCTTTATACTATTTACTTATGGCCAGAGCAACACACTAAAGATCGGCTGTGAAAGAGTTAGGTGTGACAATTTAAATTAATATCCAGCACCCTCCATAAGTAACTAACACCAACTTCTTCCTGAAACTAACTTTTTAACACCATCGTTAGAAAATACCATTACCATCATAACTAAAAAAGAAACACTAAGGCAGCACATCTTTTCTAGCAGATTGTTTTTATGCTTTATATACAACTAGATTTGTATCTAGCACATATGCTTTTGAGGAGAGCAATATTAAAAAAAGTTAATCTTGTATCTCCTGTTCTCACTGTAGGAGTTGAAGCTGAGAGATGAAGAGTGTGAGAGGTTATCAAAGGTCAGAGAGCAACTGGAACAAGAACTAGAGGAGCTAACCGCTAGTCTTTTTGAGGTATAGTTTGATATGCGTTACTATCATTCTACCCATTTGAAATATTTGCAGCTGGTTAAAATTCTGTAAATGACTATATACTGTATGTTTTTTGAAGTTAAAGTGACACTAAACTCAGGAGTTAAACCTTAAAAAGCCATTCAAGTGTCTTAACTATTAACAAAAATGTATCTTATTTGTGTATCACTCAGCTGTAGATCCTCAAATCAACTGTGAAATGGTGCTGACACTGTCCTTCCTTCTGGAGGGTGGCTACCATAGGTGTCCGCACACCCTAATCACCCCCGTGCACACATGGCTGTCAGTATGCTAATGGAAGATTGTGCTCCTATGATCTAGAGCCTTAGAGAGCCCAGACATCTGCTCTCCATATCACCCCCATATCAAATGCAGGACATTAATTGAGCATGATACATGGTAGTTGGGAGACTGCATTTGACCTTTTAAACATGTTAAACATGTTCACATTAGAGGTGAGGAGATTAAGGGGGGATATGATTTCCATGTACAAGATGTTCAATGGTGGTAGCAACATTAGCGATAAACTGTTTAAAATTAACTCCATTACAAAAACTAGAGGCCACCACCTAAAATTGGTGGAAAAAAAATTCCAGCACAAGGGGCGAAGGGGGTTCTTCACAGTAAGATCAGTTAGGGTCTGGAACTCACTGCCACAGGCGGTGATTTCAGCAAATAATGTGGAATTGTTCAAGAAACTTTTGGACGATTTCTTAAGGGACCGTAATATACAGGGGTACGGGTACTCCTAGAATGAGATCCTAATAGGTTGGACTTGATGGACTAATGTCTTTATTCAACCTCAAATACTATGTAACTATGTAACCTGACTTGTGTTGCATTGTGTGTCTTTGGAACGTAGCCTTTACTTCTCAAACGATGCATCTGCAATTCAATGCACACACTTGCGTATGAATAGCAAACGCATGGTTTGAAAAGAATGCCCTTCAATATAAACCATAACCTAGTTGTATGATTTGGTGAAGAATCTCTCTGTTGTGTCTATACAGCTGTAACCACAGCTGTATCTTTTCAGTGTAACTGGAATAAAACCACATGTCTTGTAAATCTACTCTGTTCTATTTCCTGTTTGACAGATGCATCACATTACCTCTGAATTCCAGACAATAATATATAAAGCCATGATCTGAACTTTGAAAGTTGACTAGTTTTGTTGTGTCCAGTGGCTGCCGCAGTGTCAGTGGTCACAAAACCGATCCCCCTGCTGTTGTACCATACTCCATGATTAAAAATGCCTTTCTGTTTAATTGTGATTTTTGTCTTTTTTCAGATAAAATAAACTTTTAAACTGCCCTTGTAGAGTACTATTCTAGTTTCTTTAGCCATGCAACAGCTTTTGTAAACAAGGCCAGATTTCCTTTTTGGCCTTTAGCTTTTTTTGGCTCCAGGAAGCAATCATGTCATGTCATCTGATCATGCTGGGTTTTCTGTAGAGTTACCCAACTGTACATCTATCTCAGCCAAAGAGATTGCCATTTTTTGTCTAGGGCACTGGGTACATTCTGAATCCTATAACTACTGATTGGATTTTGTTTTTCAGATGGTAGACAGCAGTACCACAAGCACATTTGCATGTAGGCTAGTCAGCTCTGCCATTGTTGCTTACTTAGAGGTCCTGTACTATGTATGTGCTGCCCCTAGGGCTTCTGTCCTGCTTGTAGGCATCCACTGCTCTGAGTGGCCTTGTCTCTGGGCCTTGAAATGTGTATCCTGCCATCAGGTCCCAAAATGTGTGCAAATTATTTGTGCCAGTGTGCTCAGCTTAGATCCATTACAAAAGGTCAATATTACAGAGACCAGAACCAAAAGTATTTGTAGGGAGAAATTCCATTATCTGTCAGCAAAGATTTCTCATTTCTTCATTTCATCTTTTATGGCAGGAGGCTCATAAAATGGTGCGTGAGGCTAATATGAAGCAGGCTACATCTGAAAAGCAGCTAAGAGAGGCCCACGGGAAGGTAATTTCACTTTAGTTAGCCAGTGATGGGCTTAAAGCTGCTTTATATATTCACCTATATGTTTATTGCTTCTACTTTTTTAGATTGATATGCTGCAGGCCGAAGTTTCAGCTTTGAAGACACTGGTCATCACTTCTACCCCATCTTCCCCAAACCGTGAGCTGCACCCCCAGTTACAAAGCCCTTCTAAGAACGCACTACGCAAAGGCCATGCTCGCAACAAGAGTGCAGGTTGTGCTGCTGTCGTGCCTGCTGCCCCCCCAGCTCAGCCAGTCAGCACAGAGGGCAAAGAGGTGAAGTCAACTATCGTATTTTTTAGATAGATAGATAGACAGCTCAAGTTGGCTATGCAAAACACTCCCAAAGAACAGTTTGGATTTGTATATAAAATAAAGAACTTTGGGGAACTAGTATGTGGGCAATCTTCCAAACTGTTGAGTTCAGGTGCAAACAGTCAGATCCATGAAGACATGGTTCGGTGTGGAGGGACTTGAGTAGCCCACACAGAGCCTTGACCTCAACCTAACCGAATATTCTGGAGTGGAAATGGAACACTGAATGCAAGCCAGGTGTTCTCATCCAACATCAGTGCTTGCCCTTACAAATGTTCTTTAGCCTCATTTGGCAAAAGTTCATACAAACACAATCCAAAATCTTGTGGATAGCCTTCCCAGAAGAGTGGAGAGTATTATAGAAAAAAGATGGAGGAAAGGAAGGGGGGGGGGGTTCATCTTTAAGTATACCTATAGCTAAATCTTAATTTTAGTAGGCAAATATTTGAACATCTGTCAAGTTTTACTGTCTCCTTAAGTGAAGGAAACTCTCCAACAGCAACACAGACAGAAGTAAAATGTTTTTATGTTAAGTAGGGGAAGTCTAGTACCCCTGTCAGATTTTATTATTGCCTGTTTCCTTATTGCAGATTTTTCCTTACTTTCTGCCTGGTAAAGCATTGGGGTTGATTTACTAAAAGCATATAGGCTGTTCAGTTCTGCTGACTTCCATCCAGTGGCGTAACTATAGCTACAGCAGCCCAGGCAGCTGCTATGGGGCCTGGGGGTGGAAGGGGGCCCCATTAGGGTGTTGAGGCAAATTAAACATAGAATGTGAAGAGAATACAGAACTATATTATTAAGCATTGGTGTTAAAGTTTACCGTATAGAGAGGACTTCAGATGCACAAGAGGAGTCTGTCATCCGGGGGGTCCCCATCACATTTTTGCTATGGAGCCTTGTGACTTGTAGTTATGGCCCTGCTTCCATCATCCAATCATATACAAGCAAAAATGCAATTTTTTTTTCTCCTTGCACGTGATTGGATATTCTTTGCTAGGTGAAATTTCACCACATTCACCAAGCACCTTGCCAAGTGAACAGCCTATTTGCTTTTAGTATATCAACCATTGTCTCCAGAATCAAAAATGAGAGAAAATCTCTCTAAGGGAGCCGCGGGTAGCAGTAAAACTTAACTGGAGTTCTCGCCCTTTATCAATCTATCCAAAACTCTTGGCTATAGATACACTATAGTTTCTATGGTTTTGAAATGTGATCCATCAAGCTCATACTGTATAAGTGTGATGTTCAGATAGCCACACATTTCTGGCCATAATGTGCAATATAGAATGAATAGAATGTTTTGAAAAGGTTTGGAGCTTTGAAAGTAACATATTGGGATAGAGGCAGGTATATATAATTTTGCTTTACAGCAGGGTTTGGTATTGTGAAGGCTTTAAGAAGTTAATTGACATAGTTAAGCAAGAGGATAACAATTAAATAATGTCAAGTAGCGGTTACTCCAAATGTGAGAGTGACTGTACATACAAAAAAAAAAAATATCTCTTTTAATAAAAAAAGAAAGGGAGATAAAAGCTGAGGAAGAAGGTGGAGAGTTGAGATCAAACGCAATTCTTCAATAAACAATAGGGAGAGTGTTGATATATTGTGCCAACACTCTCTTTTAAATGCAATAAAATATAAAGGAACAAAATAAATTGTTGTGTTGATTAGGTTGAGTGGCACAAACAGATAATTATAGAAATGCAATTTGAGGTGTAAGAAATAAAAAAGTAATAAAGGGAAGAAATGTGCATGTGACCAAATATTGGTCACTTATCAGTGGGCTCCTAGTTAAGTTCTTTTAGGTGGGGTATTGCCATCTTTATGAGTGGAGTTTTAGTTTATAATCAAAAGGCATTTGGACCTGGTCCCCCAAGACACAGGGCTACCCAAGAGACTTTACCCATGGGGCTATAACGGTGTTCATGTCCCTGGTAATCTTGAAAGCCAAAAGTTCTGTTTTTTTTTACAAAGGAGAGTGTCATTCTCTTTTATGGATCAGTGTGATCTTAAAGGTATTTTATATGATTTTTTTCTGTATTAGTATATTACTGTACTTTTCTATTTTATTTTTCAGGTAAATATTAAATATGACACATTAATATTTCATATTTACCTCTGGCAGCCTGCAGGTGGTGGGCTCTAGTCAACTTCCATTTTATAAAGCTGATATACTGCTATGTTCGCAATAGCCTGAGTAGACCACATTGTGTGCAGCCTAATTAGAAATATTTCAGATTGCACACATAGCTGAATGACAGAGAGGAGAAACAAATCCTTTCTCTGTGTTAGCAGGGATGAAACCAATTGGATTATTCAGTTGCACTAAAAAAATGCAAAAAGCATGCAGGTCCTCCTGGGTTCCCCTATTACAAAGTGCTTTGTGCTCTCCAAAACTATTCAGTAAAAAACTTAAACTTATATACAATATACAGTATTGTCCAAACCTAATGCATCCAGGGTGTGTACTTTTATTATTATGTCATTTTTTTAATAGTGACATTATACTCAGTACGGTATATCGAAACCATACATAGAACAGGAAATTGTATAACATGTATGCACCATAAATCGAAACTCTAAAATCATCTCAATGCTCTCTAACTCTTTCTGTTTCTCTCCATTCTGCCTTACAGTCTTCCATCATACTTTCCTGTTCTGGTATAACCTAATATCTACATCATTTATCTTTCTTTGCCCATCAGCTTATTATCTATGCTTGTCTTTCTCTGTCCCCCTTACTTTAGTATACCTTTGACAGGATTGTCTCTAGACACATTAAAAAATAAAGTATATTTCCATAAACACTCATGCTTGGATCATTGGAGACAGTATGTGTATGCCTATGAGGGAAAGGAGGAGTAGAGCAGGCAGACTGCCAATATAACTGCCTAATCCTGGAGGACAGAATTGTAGTTAACTAAAAATATCAAACACAGGTCAGTTGTCTGGAACAGTCTGCTTATTCCCATAACTGTAGGGATTACTGTAGGACTGTTGTAAGAAAAAGTTGTAAAATGTAAGTTATAGGGGCAGGCCTTGATTATACAATGTCTATGGGTAACTTAAAAGTTGACAATTTTGTGCAACAGCCAATATAGTTCTTTATTTTCCCCACTTTCATAGTTCCTCTAGACCTGGTAACCACAATCAAGGGTTTTACACAACCAGCTCTTGGACTTTAGTCTAGTCTACGCAGAAATTACTTAGTTTGCTTTAACTCACCAGTCACCCTGTGTACTATCAAGGGAAGTCCTCTTTGCATCTCGCAGCACAGGCACCTTGTCCATAATTTATGGACCTCCAGTTTGTGATTATGTTGGGATCTAAAGGAGATCCATCTTTTATTTAGTTATATTTCTCTCCATTGTAAGGAAATAAAGAGATATATCCTTATATCTCTTAAATAAGGAAATATATCCTATAAAGAAGTTCTATACTTCAATATTAGGTCAACATCTATTACTGTCTGGAGATTAGGGGTGGGGAACACACTCCAGGATAGGGCATAAATGAACTAGTAAGGGAGGTGATGGTTCCCCTTACTAGTTGACTATACACCTGGCAGATAACCAATATCCACCTAGTCATTCTACCAAACCACTAGTGGAGCAGATTTGTCCAGATTGCCTAATACTGGTCTTCAATTTTAAACTGCTGGATCTTCCCATTATGAATCCTATGTGTATATAGACTGTTGATGAGCTATCATCTAGTCAGCTGGGTTCAGTTGACATTTTGGCTGGTGGATTGCCAGCTTAGGCTTACTGAGGTTTATTGAATTGAATAAAAATTCCTTATGTGGATACTTTCTCAGCATCACTGACTCAGAAGATTTTAGAACTAAAGGTTCAGCATGATATCCAGATAACTGGCATTTTTAGAAGGAAATGCAGCAATGGCGGCTTCCATATTTCTTGTATTACAATTTTTCTTTAACATTTGTGGTTTTAGCAAATATTATATCTAGGTATTCTCCCCAGGCTATTAAATAATCCCGTGTTCCAGTTGCTCTAGGTGTTCATTTTCTTTTCTCATATTCCGTCCTTGCTTTCATCATTCACATTTCTTAGTATCTTCTATATGGTAGCAGTTCTATGTGTCTTTCTTTTTCTCAGTCACTTTCCCCACATTTTCTCTTTCTGTACCTGTTTGTTTTGTTTTATGTGCCTCTTTTTCTAAGTCGTTGTGTCTCTCACCCCTCTGCTATCTTTTCCTTTCTCTGTCTCTTTTCTCTTAGTTTTCTGCAGTTCCATCTCTTCTTTCATTGCTTCTCTGTATTGTACCGGGGAAGGTTGTCCATATAACCTACGAGCCCGGATGGCCTGTCTCTGATGAGTCTTCCTCTTCTACTTCCTCACGCCAGGTACTGTCTTTAGGACTGGCCTTAGACTTAAGATGGCAGTTGGATCATGTGGTTACTGCCAAACAGGCTTAAAAGAGATTTAAGAATTAGTATTTGTATTGCCCAGTATATATTGAGCAGACACCTCCCCATAAGGGAAACAATAACCCCCAAAAGTCATCAATTACTTTTTTCTTCAAGAATGATCAACCAGGGCTATCTATTCTGATATGAAGGTGCCTAGACTTAAAGTATAAAATATCTAAAGCCCAAACTTTTTTTTCTCCATAGAGTAGGAAATATTTAAAACCTCTGCTATCTGTTCCCACATTGGGGAGATTTCCTGTCACTTCCTGTCTTGCAGACAAAGACAGGAAGTGAAATACATTCTCTACAAAGAGAGGGAAAATCGTCTCTTGCTTACTAGAACAGTTGTCCTCAGATGAAGTGTTCCCTTCTGTACCCATACTGGTGACAACTGTAAAATTTTGGAATTTCCATCACTTTTTGTTCTGGTGACTATTCACCAAGACAAACAAAGAGGGCAAATCTCTTTATAGTGGTTAGAGAACATTACAAAAATCTGAATAGGGTTTTAACACTTCCATTTTCCTTTAAAAACTAACAAAGTTTTGGCTTTAAATTCACTTTAATGACAGTTACATTATTTGGTGCAAATTGGACATTACAGTGCAAATAGGGAAAAAGGTTGTCCAATATCTAATTCATAAATTTAGACTTTTGGGGGACCAGCTGTATACCAGCTGTATAAGCTCACACCCACCCAAATGAAGCTACCACATGATCTGATTTTCCATCCATATGAGCAGAATGTGACTGGAGCCATTTTATCTGCCCATTCAGTTACTGGGGAGTCATTTGTGGGGATGATGGAATCAGAAAAATTGCTGATTCATAACTTTTTGATTTTCCTGAATATGTGATTGTATCGTTGTCTAACTTAGTAATAATCCATCAATTAATGAATGCAGGAACTTACAATCCATGGTGGGTTTGATTCTCTGTAGAATAGAAAAATCCACATGAATATATACAGTAGAATCTAAAAAAATGAGGTTCACGAACTAACTTTGCTTTTCAGGTTTGTTTGTGCCTGCATTGACTGTTTTAAACTCCTTCAACTACCCAATGAGTGTCTTGTATTTAGGCCCCTTAAGGCTGTAGTTTAGTCCCAGTATGGTAGCACAGCTATCAGGTACATTTCCATACAGATAGTACACCAATTCCCCTGATAAGATCTGACCTTTTCTGTACTACTCCCACAGGTGGACACCCTCCTTTACTCAGAGTTTCTTGGATGGAAAGAGAACCCAACACTAAATAAATCCAGCCCCTTCCTGTCACGTATCTACCAAGAGGATATTACACCCTGCTTGGACTTTGCAAAAAGGGAGGTAAGTTAAATCTAAAGAAGGTTTGACCTAGAAGGAAAATCAGGCCTGGTTTATGTACAATTTGATGTGGCTAACATAAATACCAAGTGTGGTGCATTTGAATGAGGCTAATATTATACTGAACCTGAGGACAACGGGTCTGCTTCATCAAGACATGGAATATTGTTAATTAAGGGACCACTTTAGCATGCCATAAAGATGAACTCGAGGAATGGTATTTTATGGATACTTACATTGGTCTAGCTTGACTCAGTGTAAGTATCCATATCTCATCTGTAGAGAGCCACTGAGATCATCATGGCAGCTGGGCAGTTAGAGTTTTCAGAAGTGTTTGCAATAACATCCTACGTATTTTATTTAGTACAGATTTGCTCTAAGATCATTGGTAATCTACACTGCTTAATAGTTTCTACCACCAACCTTTATATGGTTATTCTGCTTACAATATACATCAGCATATCCAGTGTATTAATATTGGAACAATGCAGGGAGTTTGTGATAATCATCTTAATTAATTTCTATATGGCTGAAGAGTTCCTTGATCCTCGGTTCACTACCTGGGGCATTGACATTTGGCTGACTTGGGCCAAATCCCTAACTCAATAATTTCACAGTCCAATGAGAGAGCCTCTACTGGCCACTGAGGTTCCAGTTTTCGACCGTTAAATGAAGGTGATGGGGCATAAGTTTAGCAGAGAGTCGGGTTCACAAGTCTGAATCTGGACCCTATGTAGTGTTCACCCAGGATACAAGGATTTTTGGAAAGGTCCGATTTTAGACTTACATTTTACCCTATTTGGTAAAATCACAAATATGTTTTATCTACCCCACCCATTTTAGCACATGACTCTTGATATATTTGATTTGTGTCATTGACCTGTTAAGCCATGCCATAACTCCATACATCTGATATTCCTACAGTTGTCAGAACAGGTTCTTGCTGCAGTAGAGGACAATACACTGTCCGTGGAACCAGTCATTCAACCTGCACTTCCCGTTGTGAAAGCATCAGCTGTAGAACGTGGGGGGCCCAGGTAATTGTGCTTCTCTTGGCTAAAATCTTACAAATGTAAAATATATTTCCAGCAATGAAGATCTGGTGTCCGGAACATTTCGGTTAAATAAGTTAACGCTGACTACCCTCTTTCACTTTTCTTTTCAGCGGGTGTCGGGTGGAGGTCTTAACGTAAGTGAGATGTGTAAACAAATACTAATCCACTGATGAGCTCTATTAATCAGAGAATGGCTTTTGACATGACCTCTAAGCCAATCAATACTCAACTAATCTGCACCCTGTTTGCTTTAACTGAATCATTCTGCTATACTGAGACAATGGGGTTGATTTACTAACGTTATAAACACACCACGAACGTGTATACACCTCTGCAGTGTGTTCCCTCCCAGCATGATCTATGGGTGGAATCTAAACACTTTTGTAATGTGTACACACCCAGCAGGTGTGTTGTGCAAAGCCCTGAAGGAATTCCAAGGTGATGTTGGGTAAATTAGCTCTATGTTGTGTTGCTTGCGTTGATGAATGCAAGGAATGTAAAGGCATGAGCTAACCATTTTTGTCTAAACTGTGAAGCAGCATTATATATGCATCATGTGCATGATTTTTCCATATATGGCATTAGTGGAAATATGCTTTTAGAGACTTTTTGGTTGATAAATACGTTTTGCTGTGTGAAAATCACACACACCTGGTGTGTGTGTGTGTGTGTTTAGGTTAGTAAATCACCCCCAATAACTCATAGGACTTGTGTATGGCTAGTGAGTTGGCATGATAAATGTGGTTCCACTGTAAATTTTAAGGATCCCTAGAGCGAAAGAAATCATATTTGAGGTTTTATGGAAGAGCACATATTTGGGGTCCAAGGAAAACCATTCTGTATGTGGATACCTGCTAAAGTACCCTGACACTGTCTTTTAAAGTGCACTAATCAATGTTAACGACTATCTTCCATTTTCCACTTGACCATAAGCATTTTCAGTGCTGATAAACGAAGTACAAGAAGACCATTAGTGGTATTTGTAGGGGCCTCATTTATAGAAACTGAAGAACTGAAGAACAAAAGTGGAGTAATTTCCTACACTACACTACACTGGTCAGTCAGGTCTGAGCAATCAGCTAAGGCTACCCATGGGCAGGACATTGGTCTTTGACCAGTGTAACCAATAATCTGTGTCTATTAGCACTGCAGCCAAAACTGATTGGAGGTCTATGGGAATCATGTGACCTCTTCAGGCACCTCCTGGACAACCATTCTTGTTGGAATAACCTGTGATCTTAAATATATTTTCCTGGACAATTGCTATTCTTCTCCTCAGATAATGCTGGAGCTAGGGTTGTTTGTTCAGTGATTAAATTACACACTTGGCTAAAATACTGTGCATTTATATTAAGAATATTACTATGCCTAGCTGTAGAAAACATAGAAGTGTTTGGTTGGTTGCTGTGTGTAAAACTTTTATTCATACTCTTCAGGGGCATTAAATAAACCCCAATGTTTAATATGCTTTATCACTATTTAACATGGACATTTTATAACATTAACATTACTGATGTGCTCAGATTTAGACTGAATTCAGTCCGAACCAGAGCTCTCCGAACATGGGCACTTCAAACTAATCAGCTGCAAGCCGGGCATTCCTTTTTAACTAGGGATGCACCAATACTGGTTTTTCAGTATTGAGTACGAGTACCGATATTTATCTTTGGGTACTCGCTGATACAGAGTACGGATACCAGTACTTCCATTAGCATGGAGCCGGCTTCCCGGATATTCAGGCTTCTTGATTGCCCGGCAAGCTGACTCTGCTGTTTGGCTGGCTTGATGCTGATTGGCCGAGAAGGCGGCTCCATGCTGTTTAGACGGCTCCAGGCTGATTGATGGGAAGCCTGCTTCATGTTCCTAAGGTATCGGAGCATTTGGCCAAATACTTGGTATCGGCACTGATACCGATACTAGTATTGGTGCATCTCTACTTTTTACAAACATTAGACTACAGTTTTCAATGCTTTTAAATAAACCAGTGATAATAAATATGTAAGCGTTATTCTTTTTTTAGGTTTATTTCCACTTTGGGATTACACCTACTTTATATTTGTTATATGTTCTCATTCACATAGCATAGCTAAAAATAATTTTTTATTTTTTTGTAATAGCTGCTTACATTTTAGTTGCTTTTTTCTGCACCTTGAAAACTTAAATTTCCTCTGCTATGGAAGAGTGGTTGAGGAGTTAATGTTTACCATAATTGACCCGATCTATTATATGCTGGCAGACCTCATTATCAGTTGTAAACTACTGCAGATTTGAACACTTTCTGTCCTAACAAATGGATAAAGGACTAGAAACTTGGCTTCTGCATTGAATGTTAATGAGGGGAATCTCAGTGTGTCTCCAGTCTTTGTGTCGGGGGACACACGTTAAAGATATCCCATCGCACTCCAGATGGACATATCTCATCTTGCAACTGCAGTGGGTGCTGAAATGGCCAGCGAATGGTGGCGCAAAAACAGTGGAGGTAATGGGGTCACCAGCACATCGGGGTATGTCTGATGAAGGGACCACACTGGTTCAGAAATGTTGAATTTTTTGTGATAGCATGTTTATTTAACGTCAAAGGACAGAGTGATACTGTAGTACTGTAGAATTGTTTGCAGTAGTTTGCATTCTGCCCAGAGGCCTGTTTTAAATACATATCTAAAAGATAAGAAATATTTGATTAAATTATGTATAGATATGCTGTGTGAATGGGAACACATAACAAACATAGAGGGGGTTTCTCAAGTATGACTGCATACGAGGAAATACACTTTAAGGCTGAACTCAGAAGGCAGGTAATTAAGTTTATTAAACAAGTGTATTGGATGGAAGTTCACAATCATTCTCACTTAATAAACGCCTTCATGTAAAAAGTAAGTGAGAATTGTGTTCCTCATAGCAACCAAACATATTTCATCTCTGAGCAAAAGGAGAATCCTGAACAGTCAGTTGATAATATCTGCTCACTTGTTTTTTGCTTTTTATTTTGTAGAAAATGTGCCCTCAGTGGTCTTTCACGTTCGTGTCGCCATCGAATTAAGCTGGGAGATTCTGGAAATTATTACTTCATCTCACCATCCTGTAGGGCCAGGGTAAGCATTACTGATGAATGTGTTGGTCTGCTTTGGCTTCACATCATTTTATGTCATTTAATATCATGTCATTGTCAGTGGGATTTCTACTAACTCACCTGTCAAGTCTCTCAGACAGGAAGTGAAGTGAAATCTACTCAATGGGGAGACAAACATCAAGGGGTTTTTAAACCTTTCCAGCTCTATCCTCATTTTTTGAAGTGTCTAGACAAAACATCTGTGTTCATAGGCAAGACTTTCCCTATAATGAGTGGCATGGCTGCTCTGCTGCACAATGTTTGAACTATGCCTGCTGACCCTTTCCAGCCAGAGCGTCCCAGGCTGCTAAGAGCTGGGCAGGGAGATTTGTAAGGGCCATACGCATCTCCCTGCCCAGCTCTTAGCAACCTGGGAGCTCTGGCTGGTGTCCTGCCCAGCTCCTCACCACCAGTGATTTTGGTTTCCGGAAGCTGGATGGGATGCCCGCCACAGCGTCCCAGGTTGCTAGGAGCCTGCAGAGGGTATCATCTCCAGTAGCACCCACTCCCCCACCTCAGAAGGCAATCAGACTAGGGATACCCCTGTTCATAGGAAAGGCACACTTTTAGATTCTTTTATTCAGTTGTGTCATAGATTTCATATGGTAAAAGGGAACATCTGATTGTAATTCAGACAAGTTTTTCTGTATAAAGTCTTTTATAGCATACTTGTTTATATCAGTCCTTACTTAACTTTCCTCTCTTTTGGCAGATAACAGCCGTGTGCAATTTCTTCACTTACATCCGTTACATACAGCAAGGTCTGGTACGCCAGGACAGTAAGTATCCCCTGTGGTGATCCATGAAACAGTACACAAATAAAAAAATACCAACACATTTACCAGCTAGCCTGCAAAACAACAGATGACACTGTGCTATTAACTATTAGGGTTAAAAACAGAGGTTTTTATTGCATACCTTTTAGAAGATATGTGGAAACCACACTGCCAAGTCAAGCCCCCCCTGCGCAGTGTGTTTCTATATCTAATCTATGAGAGCCTCCATCTTGGAGCATATATAGCAATGTTGATGTGTTGCTGCCATCAATTTGAAAATTACCTTATTTTTTTAAATTTTCTCAGTTTAAACATTTGATATGTTTTCTTTCCTCTATTGTGAATAAAATATGGGCTAATACGATTTGCAAATCATGGCATTTTTGTTTTTTTGTAAATTTTTCACAGTGTCCCAACTTTGGAATTGGGGTTGTGAATTATTCAATCAAATAATAATCATTATATACACCAGAATATAGAGAGATTTTGTTTTTGGTGTACCACTGTAAAATAACAGTAGTTACCTTCTGCAGATAACCCATCTTCTCTGTTACCCCACAGCTGAGCTTATATTCTGGGAGATCATGAGACTTCGCCAAGAGATGTCAGTGGCAAAACTTGGCTTCTACGTCTTTGAATCGTAGCGATTCCAGTGTAAGGACAACGTAAATGACCAATACGGACCGATGACATTCTGCTGCTGTGGGATCAAATGATAACTGAGAGCAGACGTGTGTGAGTGCTTTTGAAAACACACCTGAGGTGACATAGACTCTATGTGTGGACTCTTCATTCATAGATGGTACTCCACCAATGATGAGAATAAGAGCACACAACGATCTATACATTAGGGATTTTTTACAAAGATCAAGAGCGGCTATACACCAGCACAGATAAAGCACAGATAATGAGAGTTTCCAGGTCATGAGGGACACAATAGTTGTTGTATAATGACCACACATACACTTGCAGATGGGGCCATTGTATGACTGGATTTTTTCATGCTGGAATGTTGATATTTTATTGGATCTCAACTGATAACAGTCACTTGTTCCATACAAGGAACACATTAGGTGTAAACAGCCTGATCTGTTCCTATAATTGGCCTTTTTGTGAACATGTTAAATGTGGCAAAGGTCACCCTACCATATTCTTCATTTTAATAAGGGAACCTATGATGATAGAACTATGCAGATTGTCATTCTGACTTGTTTTTAAAAGGATTCAGGGTTGTCATCCTTATCCTCGCATCATTATTTACTCACTGACCTGAAAGAAGTATTAAGGAACTCAATAGTTTCAGATTTTCCTTGCTATATGCTGGTATTGGATCAGTGACTCACTAGGTATTGGAGCCGGGATAAGGATGACAGCCCCACTGCCCACTCCTTTACAAATTGGTCAGCAATGGCAGCTTTACCTATTTCAAATGTCACAGAATTATAGTTATGTTTATTGGATGTAGAAGGTTAAGAGGGATTTACAGGAAAACAGGAAATCCTCAGTTTGTTTAGGGCCATTCATATAGCATGAACGGGTTTCAGCTCGCGGGGTTCCTAGGAAAAGTCTCTAAATTATAAATGTCAATTGTTGCTAAAATATGTTCTTGCAGATTACCTGTAACGTACAGTGGTGCTCTGTAATCAGTGCCCCCCACTATTGATGACAATGAAACTTTAAAATGTGGAGACCCTGCTCTATTACTACATGGAGGGGCCCCAATCGTATATCTCATTTGCATTTCTTTTGGAACTCACCTTCAGGGTTCATGCACATGACCGAATGTAAATACAGCAACTAGTTTACAGGATCAAGCTGACAGCATGATGCTCTGTAACAAGTATTCTGTATGTTGTATGCATGTAACATTTGTTTCCGCATTTACATGTGTACAGTGTATATCACAAAAGGGCCCTATTGGTTGACAGTATGCAGGCTGCTTAAGCCGCCAAAAGTCCTTCTTGCTGCCCAGTGCCCTTGGTTGTTAGGATGCAGGCAGCTCAAGCCTCCTGCATCCTAGCAACAAAAGACACTAGGCTGCCGCAGCCGCCTGCATCTTAACAACAAAGGACTCTAGGTAGCCAGATCTGCCTGCATCCTAGCAACTAGCGCCTAGCGTCCTTTGTTGCTAGGACGCAGGCAGCTCCAATATAGTGCATTTGCGGTGTACTCATAAAAATATTAGAACAAACATTTACATGCATACAGTGTAAAATATGGTCCATAAGCGGGACCTCAGAGGCGGATCTTTCGATTTTGATTTTACAGGTTTGAATGCAGCGCATGTTTACTGATTGTTACACACTGTGTGCATGAACCTATAGAAATCAGATCCGTAAAAAATATTCTAATGTACTGATAAAAATGCAGAATTTTTACTACTGTGTGCATAAGCCCTAAAGTATATGTAAAGCCCAAATATACTTGTTTAGTTTTACATAGAGTAAGAAAGGTTAAAAAGCCCTGTCAGCTTATTCCTTTCTGTCTGTGTCCCATAAGGGAGATCTCCCTTTACTTCCTGCCCTGGAGAACACTTCCCTCCTGTCTTCAGGAAGTGAGAGGCAATCTCTCCAAAGGGTCAGACAGTTGTCATTGGAAAAGGGGTTCCCGTTTGATCATTTAACCTCACCTTTTACTCTAGTGACATCTCTAAAATTTTGAATTTCCCTTCACTTTGTACCACAGTGACAACAGTCAAAAAGACAAATAGGGGGGATCTCTCCAGCTGGGACAAAGACAGCAGTAGAAACATCACAAACGGTCTAACCCTTGCCCACACTATTCCAAACCTAAAAACAAGTTTAACTTTTTCGTCTTGTCCGTTAACCAATGCCCCTGAGTTTCTCTTGATTCTTTGCTATAGGAAATCAGGTATTTTCTAATTAAATACAAAAGACGAATCTGTGTCACATGCAGGTTGAACTTAGTTGGACACATCTCGATGTCTCAATAACCAACTTCTTATTACTTTTGGGTACAGTGGGGAAAAGTTAAAACATCTGCCAAAATTAAATTGCTCTACAAAAACTTCAAGGAAGAAACTCTTCTTATTGACAATATGTTTTGTGGGTTGAAGGAGACCCACTTTGTCATGACATCAAATTTCCAAGAAAAGTGAATACTCAGAAAGAGAACCCTGATAAGATAGTTTTAAAAGATGGTGGGATCATTCCTATAGTTGGTTTGATGAATGTAATTGTTGTCTGTGTCGCCATTGAGTGAACAAAGACACTCTCTCATCATGCTCTGTCTGATACTTCACAAGCAGAAGACATAGACAATCTTTCTTACAGGGACATTAACAGCAATAAAAAGAGAACAGATGTTCTAACTCATCTCCACAATATAAAAAAAAGTTCTGGATAGAAATGAACGTTAATACGTTATTCTATAGACAGTTTCAAAGTGGAAAATTCTTTGACTTTGTAAAGAATGTATCAACAGTGGAGATGGCTGGAATCTAAAAATGTAGGGGACATCAAGACATTGCAAGCCCCAACGCACCATGGGGCTTTACTGATAGCATGTTGCCACAACATCCATGCAAATCATCTATAGTGTATTATATACAGTAGAGTGGCAGTTGATAGGCCATTGATTGACTGATGTGTTTTACTGCACATTCCTCTTTGTTGCATGTTATTAGGGAAAGCTCTAGAATAAGCTCTGGATATAACCAAATCTACATTAGTACAACATATCTGATGCGCACAACCTGATGAGGTGCTTATGAGATTCTTTTATAAGGGCAGGACCTGGGGGTTCATTCACTAAAGTTAAATGCTGGGCGGATGCCGTTTGCATGGCACTACCGCCCCTAGATGTGATTTTGCACCAGATATTATGAGACTCTTTTGCACACTCACCTTATATGAGCATGCTGCTGATTCTATGTAAGTAAGTCTTATCTGCATTCGCAGCTCCATGCACCCTGAGTGCAAACTGGCTCCAAATGACACTGTATCGGGTTTATTTATAACACTTCCACCCAGCGTGTAGCTGTTAGCCCAGTACCAGTGCCACTAGATGGCATTCATGAGCAGATTTCCTATACTCCTCAGCACCATCCAGGGGCGATAGTGCCATGTGAAAGGCATCTATATGTTCAGCTGAAGTTTTATAAATAAACCCCACAGTAATAATAAGAATTCATTGCTTCCATTTGTTCATAAAGGTCTTGTATTCATGGTGGAGCTTGCATGTAGTACACTCCATTCTTCACAGGGATCTGTTTATGTGAGGGCTGTACCAATGTAGTTCTATTTATTATTGTTCATGTAAACTGCATAGCATTTTAAAGTATACTCATGTTCATTCTTACTGTAGCGTTAAAGAGAACCTGTTAGATGGATGCCTGATAGTCAGAACACAACTAAGGACCTTTTGGCCTGGGGGCAGACAAAACCAGCTAGCACTTTTATTAGTAGGGAGAGACTTCTGTGGGTTAAAGAGAGTGTGCTGTGATACCCCATTGATTTGGAGCCATTTTGAAAGGTGAAAATGTGGTTTAAAATCCCCCCATTTTATATTTATAGGCACACAAATCAAAGTCTTCTTTCACCACTTCAGGACCTAAGAATTTTTTTACATTTCTGCACACACATGTTTGAATCAGACTTTTTGGCTAGAAAACTGTTTAAACCCCCAACAATTATAGATTTTCTGAAAGCAGAGATCCTGTAGAATAAAAAAAATGCTAGCTGCAATTTTCTGTGTCCCATGATATCAACACTACAGTGCTTTATAATTGAGGTACGTGTTGCTCTGTACAGTGTGAAGGGCCGGTTGTTGATTTGCCCGGAGCTGCGGGAAGAAGTGTCCAGGCAGCTCATTTAAATCTATGTGGATGCCGGAGCTGTGCACCCTCACACACTGCTTTCCACAGCTCTGAGTTTTGACAGCTGCACACAGACGGTGTACAGACCTGTCTGTGTCCAATGCTGTACACCATCTGTGTGCGGCTGCCAAAACGCTGAGCTGTGGAAAGGGCACCCAGTTCCGTGTGAGGGCACACAGTTCCTGTGTCTCCAGCATCTCCATGACAGCACCCCTGGAATATTTAGGAGAGATTGGGCAATCATGATGTGGTTGTAAATTAAATAATATGGGTCTCTTTTGCACATTAACCTTATACGAGCATGCTGCTTTTTCCCAAGTAAGCAAATCTTATCTGTGTTTGCAGCTCAATGCACCATGAGGCCTATGAAATGCATTGTGTCAGATTTATTTATAAAACTTCCACCTAGCATATAGCTGGGCAGATTCCATTCGCATGGCACTGGCACCCCTAGATGGCGCTGTGGAGCATAGGTATTTATGCTAGTGCCATCTAGGGGTGCTAGTGCTGTGTGAACGGCACCTACTCAGCTATACACTGGGAAGAGGTTTTATAAAGAAACCTGTATGTATATGGACTCCAGGCATAGCTCACCAGGATGCTTAAAGTAGTTTGAAAATCTACCTGGACAACATTTAGGTTGCTATTATAATTATATTATAAACAATTGCCACCCCCCCTCCCCCACACACATTTTTATCTTTATTTGTTTTGTATGTCACTGCTGCTGATTCCCTCCCCTTCAGGCCATTTCAGTGCCTCTTGTCTACATGCACTGACTGCAGCTGCACACCACTTACATACTTTCTCTTCTGGGTGAATGTTCTTCATTAGGTTCATTTATAAAATAGAAAGCGAATGAGGAAAATACGGCATAATGGCCACTAGATGGAGCTGAGGATCATAGGAAATAAAAACATGTTAGTAATGAGATTAAATGTTACACTTCAAGAGAACACTGGAGGGAATGAGTATATAAATGCAACCATTGCTAATCCCATGGTATCAATGGTTACATGTATGCCCATTCTTATCACTACCTGGAAGGACTCCTTGTTCTGATTTCCTCATTAGACTTCTCATATTAAAGGAGAACTATGAGGTGAGTGAAAATTACTCATCCTCATAGTTCGAGCCGATATGTGACAATGAAACTGTCACACGACAGCTCAATCGATCGGGAAGTGAGTGAACGCATATCGCCCCTCGCACACTTCTCGATCATCTCCCTGCA